ACACACTCTTAAAGAGTGTGCTAAGATGGAAGGTTGCCGGTTTGTGGTAGCTCATTCCAATAATCTCACCTTTTGCGAGCAGGTAAATGCTTATTAATCTCCTTAATCTATTTATTAACAGTATACATGTAGGGACTCAAATCCTCAGTCTCTTTTTCATGTTCCCTAATAAAAAGCACTTGAACCAAGAAAAATAAAATATTACCAAAGAGAGAGGCAATTGGCTTTTTTTGGTGCTTGGCAGAATTTTATATGAAGAGTAAATAGTCAATTGGGAACAAAGAAATATGTTTGAATTTGAGTACATACTTTGCATCAGAAGACAATGAGATCCATAACTTATCCACTATAAATTTCTCATGCTATCCTCTATTTTTATGTTCCCAAATATACATCTATCAAGCGAAGTACCACAAAATAGTCACATAGTCATAAGACAGAATATTAATCACTAGATGTATAAGAACATGTACATCACTTTCCCAAATGAGTTGCATAACCATGTGTTGAATGCAGGTGAAGTTGATGTGTTTGACAGATATTTTGATATCTCCACATGGTGCTCAATTAACCAACATGTTTCTCATGGAAAGAAACAGCAGTGTCATGGAATTTTTTCCCAAAGGTTGGCTGAAACTTGCTGGCGTTGGCCAATATGTTTACCATTGGATAGCTAGCTGGTCAGGAATGAAACATCAAGGAAGTTGGCGGGACCCCAATGGGGATCACTGTCCATACTCTGAAGATGATCGAAGATGCATGTCTACATACAAGAATGGTAGAATTGGACATAATCAAACCCATTTTGCAGAGTGGACTAGAAATGTTTTGACTGAGGTCAAGGCAATAAAGACTCAAGAAACTTCAATGAAGACCAGAGCTGCTACATTTTTTGGTTGTGCTTGTAGCTAAATAATATTAGTATCACTTTCAAACAACATACATTTTTCTTGTATGCTTATATCATCATCAAGATTATTCGATCCTTAAAGTAGCTCATGTATAAGAGGATTTTTTTTTTGTTCCTTTAAGAATGAAAATAAGGAAATCATGAATGTAAATCCTTTTAAGTGGCAAATAGTCCTTTTAAGATTCTTATAGCCTAGAAAAAGTTATAATTGAAACTAGAGACCATTGGATTTAGTGTGAAAATCTTCAAAGGAAATTTGAATGTATTTGGCTCAACATGTCTATATTGCATCTGATCTTTCAGGGTCCACCATACGATAGATGGATCCCACAGAATGATTATTGCAATGAGACAAATGTCAAATCCATTATTGGAATGGATCTTCAATTAAGTCAGGGATTTTTCAATTTTAACCTACGGAATGCAACTTCTGGTTAAGGAGTCAATGCACTAATTTACCTTTCCTTTGGTGCACTTTGTCAGAGTAACAACTCTGCCCCTGTCAAGTTGGTGAATTGATCCTCCGCAGTGTAAAAAACAAAACCATAGTTGGGAATGTCAATCAAACCAATTCGATATCAATAATGTTGCAATTGCAATATCCTCTGGCATTGTTTATGTTGTCGTTTGCTGGGGTCATTTCGTTGGCAAGCCCCGCAAGTGAACGTGCAACAAATTATTGTGTCATTCACGTGTGGTTTTGTGATTGGCCAATAACTTGAAGCCCTTAAAGTGAGTTGTTTATTTTAAATTTGTGGGTCTTATAATGTCATGTTACTGTAAGAACTTTGACTCAAATTTCACTCAAATACAAATAAGTTCTTAACTTTAATATGTGAGTTCTACCATGTAACACTATATATAAAACAATAATATTCTCTCATCTTGTAACACTTATCTCATAAAAATAGCTTTTTTATTGCTTAAAACTTATTACTTATTTAAGCAACCCAAACAAGATTACATTGACAAGTCATCCACTCCAAGCAAATTTCACAGATTTGTAAGTTATTGATTTTAAGTTGTGTAAATACTTTTTAAACTAAAAGCATATAACCTACGGAATTTCTCACTTATTTAAGTCATGCACGTGATATGGCTAAACATTTCAGATTTGGTCGAGCCAGAAAGGTGACCAAATCTTTAGTGCTTGCCGAAGGAGAATGTTTGTGCCATAATTGGCAACCTTTATGCAGTTAATTCTGAATCGAAGAGGGTCACAATTATTTCTTGAGATAACTAAACAAAAAAGAATTTGATTTCTTTCTTTTTAATTAGTTAAGTCTCACGTGTTACTTATTGCACCATAGCAGATTTTATTACGTATGAGGTAAAGCTCCCTCGGCCTTTTTAAAACTGATTTCAGTTGTGCAAAAAGCTGGCCAATGCAGAATGTTTCTGACATAAATGGAGACCATTGTCTAGTATGCATATCAA